CTGCCCATGCGTGAGTGGCAATAACTCTCCTTACCAGCAGGCGGCGGTAGTGTGTATTCGTCATTCAAAAGAGGCAACAACCGGAAGACAGACTGTGTGATAACCAAGAGAAGAAGAACAGACTGCGTGATATAAACAAACAACAAATAGCGTGTGCTTTCACTCTACAGCGAGAAGCTCACGGGGCTTTCCCGAACCTGTGTCGAGAGCTGGAGTTCAATGACATCTCAGATTTGCCTTCTTAATAGTTTGTTTGGGTCCCTCACTTCCATTTAGCTTCCCATGCACTGATTCACTAGCTGGACAGCCAATCAGAGTGATTTCTTTTTCCGACAGCCTTTGGCCGACTGCCCACCGATTCGACATGTGGAATCGGTGGGTTTTCGGCCGAAAAAGCGTTGGCCCGGCTGAAAAGACACGACGGTGCGGGACACACCAATCTGAGTAGGGCGTGTCGACGCTCATCGTCGGCCTGACGCCCATCGGCGGCCAGAATCGGCTTGGTGTGTCCGGGCCTGCTCTAAAGTCATGAACTTTAGATAGGAAACCATTAACTGCTCCATAAAAATAAAGAAAGTATCTTATTCACAAAAAAGCAGTTTGAATGCTTAAATAGAAAAGCCTCCTCCAACATTTTACATCTTGTTTTATGTTGAAATACTTCAGTGTCTTTTTCATTCTCAGCCTTTATGATGCAGATACATCATAAACCATTGTGCTGTAAATTGGTCCAGTGCAGCCATTAGCCAGTGGCTGCTGCACTCTGAATACAGCATTGCTTCCTCTATGTCTGTTGTTTCTTAACACAGGCTTTATGGACATATCGTTACATTATGAGACAATAGGATATCATTTAGGAAGCTGTTGTGTTTTATTATAAAGGATACCAAATGGACAGAATATAAGAGTGGACTGCTGAATCCTGCACTCACTTAAATCTAAACATACCATTTGCCTTCCAGGCTTAAAGGGGCCCTATGCTTTTGGGGTTCTCCCTTCCCTGTAGTGGGGTCGTTTTAGTGCATGTAAATGGTATGCAAAGTTCATGCAGGAGGGAGTGTCTCTCCCACAGAACCAGGTTGAGTTTGGAAATATGTCAGTCTTCTTCTACAGGAGCATTGCAGCAGCGAAGTTTATAATACAAATGCTGTGAAGTGTATTAACTTCAAAATAGGATTAATGCTAATTTAAAGCAGCTTATCGATAATGTTAAATCGTAAGAATGACAGCCTTGCAGGTTAGTATGCAAATCAGCATGGAAGTGATTATGTCATAACAAGCTAATGGCAATTGTGTCATCTCATCAGAGAGACATGTTTCTTTCATCACAGAAAGTCACAGACATCTCTCACACACATTATGGCAAACACATTAAAGACTAGCGTGCGTGCATGTGTTGAGGAACACAACAGAACATATGAATTATTGATGGGATGCTTTCAAAGCTGTGGCGTCACTGGGTATCCATTGTTACCTCTGTTGTTGTTTGCAGCGCTTTGCAGGGCAGAGCATGGAGGCGAGGTGGGCAGGGACCAACTTAGCTCCTTCACATAAAGTGCATTCAGCGAGAACATCTTTGTTTTTAACACATTTTTAATATGTTTTTTTCTTGGTTTTACTTATATTGCAACACTCTACAGGTATTTGACCAGTGCTGATAGCATGCAGATAGTGTCTAGGTTGTATGTTAAAGCTCTTGATACCAGCACATGAATGTCTCACATATGTTTAGATCAAAAGGTATCCACTTTTAAAGGTTTATCTTCAATGTCATATTCATAGGGAGATGGTGGCGAAGTCGATAGGGACTTGGCTTGGCAACTGGAAGGTCACCAGTTCAAGTCCCGGCAAGACCAAGTGCCACCGAGGTGTCCCTGAGCAAGGCACCGTTCCCTACACTGCTCCCCGGGCGCCGTTCAAAATGGCAGCCCACTGCTCCTAACACTAGAATGGGTCAAATGCAGAGAAACAATTTCCCCACGGGGATTAATAAAGTATATCATATCATCAAATGAAATGTCAAATGACTTTAAGACTAAAGTAGCTTTTATGTCTGTTCAGGTCTAGTGTACTGATCTGGAAAAGAAGAAGCCCCCCCCCACCCTTAAGGAATGGGTTCACAGCCAGGCGGTGGGATACAGCTCGAAAATACAGAGGAAATATCCTGTATTCATAGCATGGGTACCTTGGCCATGCGTGAACTGATGCTGATGACATTCACATGTAGCTGTGATGCCTGAGTGGCTTAAGTTGCTCTGAGGGTCTGTGCAGAGAAGCAAGGACAGACACATTTTAAACAAACACTTTAGTTGTGTGTTATCTGTTGAAGGCTATGAACACACATTTGACTAGAAACACGCAATGCGTGCTGATGATGTAAGAAAGGTAACACACACAAAATGTAATGCAGGGTTTCCCACACAGACTATACTTGGGCGGGCCGCCCAGGTATATTAACGGCCGCCCAAGTATATTTCGCGACCCATTTATTTATTTTTATTTTAAAAAAAATGTATATATTTTTTTTGTATTCGTCCGTGACCACGACGCCATCTGCGATCGATTAACTTGTAGACAATGATCCCTCGCTCCCTTGCTCTGATCTCGCCTCCTTCTGGCCTGTTAAGTGGCCTGCCTCACACAGGGTGACTGGCTGTCCACATGATGTGGCCTGCCGACATGATCACTGTCATACAGATCATAAATCAAAGCCCTTGATTGGTCTCTGTGTGTCATTCAAGCTCGGGATAACCTCAGCTCAGGTGAGGTAAAGCACTCTCTGAGTGTTTAGATAGTTAACTTAGTCTAAGTTCTCAGTGGGTCTCAAACGGTGTGGTCACCATTTATGTAAACACATATTTCCATTTGAGAGAGTAGTGATTGGTCTAATGGATAGTGAGGTGGGCTGAAGATCGGAAGGCTGCGAGTTCAAATCCCGCCAGGAACACCACCACTAGTGTGCCCTTGAGTAAGGCACTTAGCCCTTAGTTACTCCAGGGAGAATGTCCCTGTAATCGGTCATTATAAGTCGCTTTGGATAAAAGCGTCAGCTAAATGAAATGTAATGTGATTAGTGAAATATGCATGAATAAATAAATAAAAAGTTAACTAGGTGAAAAAAGGTAAGATACACTTTTAAAACTTGTTGAGAGAAAACTAGTCTTTGCTGCTGCCTCAAAGAAGAGCAGGGGGAGAGGATGGAGAGGGGGGAGAGGAGGGAGACAGGAGAGGCTGATTCAGGAGCACAGACACACTCACAACTATAAATGAACCAAAACTAAATTAATAAACAAGTTTCAGTGTTTTTTTCATATTGGAAATGGTATGTTATTGGTTATGGCCTTGATTTTATGATTATTGAAATGTATACAGTTCTGTTAAATATAGGTGTTTCCATAGATCTAGTCTCTTTATTTTCCCCTCAAAATGCACCAGATTGATGCATTTAACTCCAAAATAAAAAATAAAATCTTACCGGGGGGGCATGCCCCTGGACCCCCCTAGAGGATTTGAGGTCGACCCCCACTAAAAATCACATGGATAGGTTCCTAAATACATTAATAAATACATTTATTTTTTTAAATAGTAACCCATTTCCATATGTTCATGTGTGGGTAGTAGATTTAAACTATAGGGCTATCATTATGGACCCTGCCTGTACCTGTACCTGTTCGCTCTGCCATCGCGTGAAGGGTCTGCTAACAAGCGACCAACAGAAAGGTTAATGTTGTTGCACGTCACCTCAACCCCCTCCCCCCCCCCCCTGCTACCACCACCCCCCCAAGTATATTTCAGATCTGTGGGAAACACTGGCAGTTAATGGACCAGCACCAGAGGCATTCCCATACACACAGTCGTTGGAGCTGTTCTTCATGAAATCCCAGAAGGATGAAGTGCTCTGACAAACAGTGCCATCTTTGCGCAAAATGATTATACCGGAATGAAAAGTCAATAAATAATAATAATAATCATTATTTTGTATGTTCTCACTGGAAAACTTGATGCATTTCTTTCATTTTTCTTGATTCCAAAAGGAATGAATGAAATGCTAACAAAACCAAACCCTTTAAATTGCTACAAGGAATCAATGAATTCTTGTTCTACAAACGAGATAACCCCTACAATCGTGCTGCAGACTGATGTGTAACCGGGGCCTCTCGTGGGTGAGAGGAGGATCGTGTTAGGGAATCCATCAGATTTGTTGTCCTCCCACAAACCTTAGCTAATCAATGTACCATGGGCAGCGATTACAAATGAGTCAGATGCTAAAATAGATTCATCATTAAAATGCATTGAACGAAGATCGTGAATCGATCACAGAATAGCTAAGGAGATCCAGTGGTGCTGAACTCATCATAGCATATTTAAGAACAACAATATGATCATCTCTCACGTTGGCATCACATTAAAGACAATGCCGTGAGAACATTGGATGGGACAAGATGAGAGATGGCTCTTGTGAAATATTTACTCCTCCTGCTTTTAAAGTGCTGCAATCTCTGACTGATTGTGTCTGACGCCCCTTTAAAATGCACAGGACATAGACAGGGGATCAGAGATGTATTAGACAACATGCAGGGCCTGCAGAAGACTGTGTTGTCAGTGTGTGTGTGTTTATGTGTGTTTGTCAGCAGTATCTGAAGCCCACAGTGCCATCAGGCTCTCAACAGAGGAACTGCTTCCTCTCATAGCCCCCCCCCCCCCCCCCCCCCCCTCCTTATGTCTCCACTCCAGTCTCAGATACTTACATCTGATTGTATTTCTTTATTTCCCAGCAGCTTGTCACTAAAACATATAGATGTTGCAATGGCAATATAAGTTAGTTTGTTTCAATTCACCGTCAGAAGAGATTCTTAGTTAGGAAATGTATGTATCCGTGCGTCTGCATGCGCGTAAACGTGTTCTGGTGCGCGCTAACAGGGGGTGGAATCTCAACATACAACTCTGGACAGATAAGACAGGTTAACAAAACGCGCAGTCTAAATAAATAATACAGAAAATGAACGGACTGCCCGTGCGCTGCGATCAACCAGCACATCCACCCACCCATACACACACACAGTTTTACCACACACACACACTTGAGTAGGACACCGGGCAGAGCGCGTACCGCCGATCATCTCCTCCCTCCCCTCAGCAGCAGATTGCTGTGCCTCTGACGACAGACAGTCACACATGTTGTGAGCGCGAGGCTGTGGAGAGACTGCATCAAGGAGCGAGGACGGCATGTTCGCTTGCATCGGGAACGGTGCGTAGGAGTTGTTCTCTCTCTACCTGCCATTTGCATTCCTTCTTTATTCTCCACGTTGATCCTCGGACGAGTGCGGGCGCACAGGGAGTCCCATTACCGAGGGAGGATCGCGCTGCGTGTGTGAGCGTGTGTGTGGGTTAAAAAAAACTACAGCTGTCATCTTAGAACCGCGGCACTGCTGTTGTGGAGAAAGTCGTTGGAAATCTGCAAGAAACGGGTGGCTGCTATATTTTCTTCTACCCCCTCTCTTCAATTTTTTTTTTTTAAAGCTTTCTTTTAAGGCGATGGACTTGAGAAAGTGCGTCTAAATTTCAGTGTTGGTGACTGGGAGTTGCCGTCGGGGAGAAATGCGAGAGGATGCTTGGAAGCAGTGAAGGATACAGCAGGTGAGTTTTCGATTAGGAAAGCAAAAATGGGGTTCTCTTTTAACGCAGACTATTGTTCAGTGTTCATTCTCATGTCGATGCAGTTTATAATGTTAGCTCAGGCCAAGGTTGTAAGAGGGGTGGAGATCCAGAATGCAGCGGTCTGGGCTACTTGGAAGGAAACATCCCTCAAAAAATGTGACTTATAATGTGTCTTGGGTGACGTTAATTATCACGATAGGCTGTCCTAAAACTCCTTGGATAACATTCCGATGTCAAATCGGTATATTCCAAAATGTCAGAGAAAGTACGCGATGATAAGGGTAGAATCGGTTGACAGGACAGAAAAGCAAACGGGGACTTGAGTGTGCTTAGGCGCGTCCTCTGCAGGTAAAAATCATCTAATCCTGGCACATTGGAAATTAATTTAGAGATGTTATCCTTTCACATTGTGACAGTGTAATCTGGCCATTTCTCTGCGTATGTGTGCATGTCTGGGATGACGAAGGCTTAAGCCATTCAAATGTAATTGTCCCGTGAATGTGAGTGTGTGAGAATGGGGCGTGTGTGTATGTGCAGGGGGAAAGGGGTGTTTGGTGGGATTGCAAAATGTTATCTTAATCTAGCCTTTATTTGGCCACGTATGGACTTTGCTGAGATAACATTTCAGTGTGAGGCGGTCGTGATCATCCCCGTATGCCATTTCTTTCATCTGCAAAGATGGCTATCTGTTAAATGGGCAGCGTATTAAAGCAAAGCAGGCTTCTGCAGCAGGAGTCGTGCATTTCATAGATCCTCAGAAACGACTTTGGAATTTTTGGGCTTTTAATATGACAACAATGGGGTCCATAAGGGGCTTACACTGCAGGACACAGGATGAAACTTGTGTGTGTGTGTGTGTGTGTGTGTGTGTGTGTGTGTGTGTGTGTGTGTGTGTGTGTGTGTGTGTAGTGTGTGTGTGTGTGTGTGTGTTTGTGTGTGTGTGTGTTTGTGTGTGTGTGTGTGTGTGTGTGTGTGTGTGTGTGTGTGTGTGTGTGTGTGTGTGTGTGTGTGTGTGTGTGTGTGTGTGTGTGTGTGTGTGTGTGTGTGTGTGTGTGTGTGTGTGTGTGTGTGATTCAAGGCAGCATTTGCAGAGAATATATGACAGTGGCCCCTGAAATGTTTCCCTCTTTATTGTCTAGCACTGCTCCTTATAATGACACACCAAAACAGTTGCGGCAGAGTATCAGAAAGCTGTGTGATGCTGTGCCTGCGGACATTCATAAAGTGCTGTAGCTCTATTGGTTATAAATAGCCGGAGGGAGCGGACAGCCATAGCTCGAGCAGCCTCTCCCTGCTTTATCAGCGCTCACCATCCAAAATGATAGATATCTGATACACCCTGAGATATCACACAGAGGCAGGGGCAAGTGTGTGGCACATGGGGCTTCATAGATGCATTATAGCCTCTTATGAGTGCTTTGTTTCCCTCCTTGGTTACATTATTTTCTTAATAAGAAATAACTTTAGTATTTTCCCTCTGCTAGGTCCCTTTGTGACACTCAATAGTGACTTTAGAGTCGCCTTATCACACCAGATGTTTCCCTATAATCCTTTATACCGTTCACTGCATTCCTTTAGGTTTTTTCAACTTCACTTGCAGGCTTTAAATTGTATTGCTGTCGGGTTTTGATCTATGCGATGATTCGGGACGCTGCTGACTCAATCATGGCTGCCTTGCAACAGCCAAGAGGATGCTGAGGTGTGCGATCCGCTTTATCCACACGCCCTGGCTGCCTTCATTAAACAAATGTGCGGCCGCTGACCTTGGCCAAGAGTTGTCAATAGGATTCACCTTTCTGCCCTGCGATAGGCTATAGGACATTAACAAAAGAGCCCACCAGCTCACTCTCCTACATTATGCTGCTGTTGACATACTATATTGAATTACAACACAATGATCAATGTATGCAATAAGCTAAACCTCCACACAGAGTATCAGATGTCTCAGGACAATCATGCTCCTCATAACAGCATTACATTTCTACGAAGAAAGGTTACATCTTGGTATGTTTGTAATTGAATCTCATGCAGAAAGGATGGAACAGCAAACCTAAGACCAGAATAAGAGTGTGTGCCGCATTTTAATAAGTTGTAAATGAAATCAGCTTCACTGTAGATTTGTCGGCAGACCGGGGCAGTCGAGACGGAGTGGGCGGTGACAGTGTGGACCATGATGTTAGTGCATGATGACTGATCACAGACTTGCCTTCTCACAACGCACTAAATGACCAATAGTGTTAGTGAGAGGGCTAATGCTGGCTTATGACGTGTAAGCGCGTCTCTTGGAGACACTCACCCCGGGTGTAAAGCCGACACCTTCTGCATTGGCAAGGTGTTTATTAGCTCCCAGTTGTGAGGCCTAGATTATCCACACGTTGCTGGGAGATTTAACCCGGCACGGCAATTATGTTGTCTTAATAAGACCTGGCTGCCATTCCACTTGATGCCAACGCCTTCATACATCTAATGTGCCCTGGGCTGGATAACATGTTCATAAAACGCCTGCGGTGGGATCACAGTAGCTGTTTGATTGAAGGGGGGAGGGGGTTCTCGTTCACAAGTCGCTCTTGTCCTTGCTGGATACCTTTTGAGCTAGATGAGCAGGAAAAGCAGCGGCCAGTGTTGTCTCAAAGTCCTCAGAATGATGTGTTTTATCTTTTAAAGATGTATCATTGTGATATCTTTAAGTGTCAAATGTTTCACCTATTATGCAACTTTCACAGACAGGGTGACACAAGCACTTAAAGGGCACCTATTATGCAAAATCCTCTTCTTCATGTCTCTTCTACATCGACATGTGTCCCCTCTGTGGAAAGAGACTCTGAAAGTTTCAGGAACAAAGATTCTCTCTCTTTTTGTCCTGATCCATTTCTATTAAAACCTGTCTGAAAATGAGCTGATCAGATTTGGGCCACTTTATGATGTCATAACGATGTTTTGGCTTGTGTAACCATTAGCCAATCAGCAACCAAGGGAACCCCCCCCCCCACCTTATCACCTGAATCTCCTCCTAGAGCACTCTCTTGTGTTCTCTTTAACCAAGTCTCTCTCAGAGGGGCGTGGGGAGGGGCTCCTTATTTTCATCTAAAGTAACAGACAGAGAATCAGCACTTTGGAAACAGGGCTGAAACAGAGGGGATTATGGGATGCTGCAATGATCTATTTGGTGTTTGGAGCCAAACACTTCAGAGACATGTTCTGTATATATCTGAAACCTATAATATATTGATGAAAAACATAATAGGAGACCTTTAATTAACTAATGAAACACCTCGTGATTATTTTATTGTAATGCAGTCAATCACGGGACATGTCTCTCCAAATACAGTACTCTATCATGCTGAACAATAACCAACAACATTTGTCTTTGTGCCAGGGTCCATGGTAGAAGAGTCTTTTTTTCACAGTGGTGTAATGGTTTTTAGGCCTGTGGGTGACAACAAATCGAAATGTTCATACTCCCGGCTCTATAAACAAATGATGCTGCTTTAACAAAGCTCTGTTGAATATCTATTCATGTATCCTGGTGTCCTACTGTAAATACTGCAGTTAAACACATGTGGGCATGCAGCCAATGCTTTGCCCTCCATTTTACCTTCAGAGTGATAGTGGCTTTAACAGTGTCATTTATGGAATCAAATGTGTCTATTGCCCTTAATCTTGTGATGATTCAAGTATTAACATAATTAGTATATGCACTAATCCAGACTTTGCACACACCTTGTTTTATCACACATTGGCCACAAATCTGAAAAAACCGACATTTTAAAATGAAATAGAAAAATAGCAAGTTCCCACATGGTCTAAGCCACACGATGCATTTCTATAGAACACATCCACAATCTCTACCCTTCACGATTATTAGGAGGCTTCTAAATGTCATGCATTCAAATATGCCTGTGGGGTTCATTTAGCGTTCAAGGATTCATGTAAAAAACGCTGCACCTAATTCTGATCTGCCTCACGGTGTTGAAAAAAAAAATGTCTTTAGAGAGTTTCTGAAAAGGTGCCTTGAGAGAGCGATTTCACCTTTTATGTTTGAGAAAAATCAAGGAGTCCACAAAGAAAAGCTGGATTACCATTTATTTTCAAATGGCAACCGCCGACAGGAATAGATGGACTATACAGTATGCTTAGAGCACTTTACCTCTACAAGGCTAACACATATTCAGGATCCACGTGTACGGCATGCATTTTGATTTATTCTAAAAGTCCTTGAACATTGCCAACATTCAATACGATTATATTCCAAACAATCTACAAAAGATGCCAAGTCCTAAGAAGTGTTTACAACCCTCTTGAGAGAACAATTGCATTGACTGCATAGGGACTAATCAGTAACTATGCTGGCACCCCTGTTGCCATGCAGCCTTTTAGACAACTGTGAATGGCATGTGTGTCACTCTGTTAAGCTGCTAGTGGGCTGTAACAAATTGACAGCTGTGAATAGGAGGTGACAGCTAAAACATTTTAGTTCCAAGATGCTGAAGTAAATGGCAAAATGCACTCTTTGATTTCACTTATTCCCTGAAACTGAATGCAAATGAGACGTTACGTGGAATCCATTGTGTTATACAATGCTTTTTTTTCGATCTTTGCACTGAATATTATTGTCCCGTATGATATTCACAAACATATTTATAACTGGAGTCTGTTGTAAATAGTTTTGCAGAGGTAATTATTGCTACTGTGTGGCAAAATTACAATATGTCGCATCTGTTCTACTGAAAGCATCTATTCACACAGTGCTATTCACTCATGACTGGAAACCCAATAGTGGGACAATAGAAACTCCACTCATACAGCCTCACTTGAATGGAGCGTATGATATTTTCCAGAAGTGGGAAGAAGATCTGTGTTTCTGCCCCACCTCTCCGGTGTTCGAATACCCTATTGAGATGCATAGTTCACACAGTTCAGTGTTTAGGTTGTGAGATAGCACTCTCAACTCTCAATATCTTTGTCTAGTAGGCTGACCG